ATTTGTAGTTGAGTACAACATACGCTAAAATTGAATATGACTATATTCAAATGTAAGTCACATTAATATAGGACAACTTATAATTTGTATATAAGTACCAATGTATCCGTACCGAGCATGAATATCCTAGTCACTAGTCACTAAATAAGAGTATACTTAAGTTTTTTAATTTAATCTTCAAAAGAGTATAATTTTTTGCATATAAGTTCAATTCACATAAATTATATATCTATTTCATGTAATTTTTTGAAATTTATCCAACTAAATTCTCATGTTTAGATAAAAAAATATTTTCAAATTTTCAATGTTTTTATTTTTATTTTTATTTTTTTGTAATTTTATATTTTTTACTTCATCATTTTTTGTATTTTGGTTTGAGTCTCTTCTTTCACTGGGTTATGTAATAATAGGATATTAAAGATAATGATATCATATTTAATTATTGATGAAATTTTTAATAATTTTGAAATGAATAGGTGTTAAAATCATTGTAGAATGTACTTTTTGTACTATCTTAGATGTTGCACTTCTCTTGGGCATATTATGTTCTAAATTCTTGATTAATTTGGTTGAATAAATTTTAAAAAGTTATATAAAATAAACATATAATTTACATAAATTGAAATTATAAAATTTATTGCTATTAATTTAATGAACTATATTAGTCATATACAAAGAGAATTAATTGTTGAAGATAGACAAATGGATAAAACAATGATATCTATAGATACACTTCTCAATCAATATTGAAAGAATGTAATATGTGTTTATGAAGTTGTAGACACTTAATTAGTGACTACTTTATAAAGAAAAGGAGTAATGGAATAACTATTATAGTAGTTGAAAAAGTGGATTCTTCAACTACATTACAATACTTGCCCATTATACATGAATAATTTTGATTGAATACTTTATGTACTACAATCGTCACACTTTGATCATCTATGACGATATAGTAGAGGACATATTTAATCTTTATTTCTGTCCAATAGTTATCAATTTTTCTACTTATCATAGAATAGAGCACTTAGAAGCTCACAAGAGGCTCTGGAAGAGAAGTACTATACTAGAGTTTTTGTTTGTACATCTTTAGTCTATATCTTTATAATCCCATTTTGTAGCTGCATTGAAACTACTACCAAGATTTTTGTTGGAGATGAAATTACTTTATTGTAGTGTTCATATATGATACACAACTTATAATCATGTTTGTAAAAATAAATATAAAAAATTAAAGTATTTTTATCCTATTCTTTTCTTATGAATTAATCTATAAGCATATTTTTAGTAGCAAAATTTTGATAAAAACTTCAGTTCAAGAAGAAAAAAGGGGAGTATTATAAGGTTATTATTTTGTATATCTTTAGACTATATTTTATAACTCTCATTTTGTAGTTGCATCACAACTACTTGTTTATGTGAGCATTATAAATATTTTAATCATATTTGTATAAACTTAATGAATATGTTAGAATATTACCAAATTTTTTGACTTTTGACAATTAAGGATGAAATTACTTTGCTGTAATGTTCATGTAGATATACAATTTATAACCATGTTTGTGAAAATAAATATAAGAAATTAAAGTATTTTAATCCTATTCTCTTCTTATGAATTGATATATAAGTAGATTTTTATGAGAAAAATTCAGATAAATCACTAATTTCTCTAGAGTCTAAATATAAAATTTATTTACCAGTTCACTAAATTACTATATATCTAATGTCACATTTAATAAAGATTTATGATACATGTATAAGATGTACTCAATATTTGAGTTTGTACAAATGTATTAGAAAAATGAATGTAAAACTAAGCAAATTACTTTTGCTTTGAGAACATAGATTTGTGTTGGTTGTAAAATGTGTAAATTCAATTGTTTAACATATTTTTCAAGTGTTCAAGTTCATTAATGGCATAGACAACTTGAAGCCTGGATCTACCTAATTAATATGTCTCAACAAACACCACACAAACAATTCTTTTACAGATAGAAATTTGTGCTCAAAATAAAAATAAAAATAAAAATTTAAATGCAAGTTTTTTCTTGTTTTTTTTTTTATAGGAAAAAAAAATCTTATTAAAAAGAGTTCAAGGGGAACTCAAAACTCATATACACAAAAAATTACTTACTCAGAGAAATAAAAAGCAAAAATATACTTATGCAAAATTAAAACAGATGCAATTTCGTGGGTTCAAATACAATCAGCTAACATAATAGTTTCTCCCTTACTAACAAGTGATAACCATTTCCAGGATCTCAGAATAATAGAATCTAAGACTTCCCTCTCATCCAAAATACCATTGAAAAATATAATTCTATTTCTATGCAATCACAAAGACCACACTGTACTTACCCAAATAATTAATAAGCATATTCCTTCTCTTTTAGTACAGCCAATATCAACCCAAGAAAGCAAGTGAGTCGATAAATCTGAAGGCAAAATCAGTGAGAATCCAAGCCAACGCGCAGTAAAGTACCAGATTTGAGATGAAACTGAACACGTTAAAAATAAATGAGTTGGAAGTTCCTCCAAACCATGACAGAAACAACAAGTTATATCATCAATTTGAACACCACGATCAATCAATAAACTTTTACAAGGAAGTACATTCAACAACAATTGCCAAGAAAAAACCAGACACTTAAGAGGAACCTTCTCTCTCTATAGCATTTGCAAGGCATCTGCCGTACACTGATCTACACTATTAGGACCACCAAAAAGTTCAAATAGCCATGAATATGCAAATTGCACTGAATAACAACATGAAGAATCTGCCCTCCATACCCATTTATCTTCTTGTAGTAACTTAATAGAAACTTCATCCACAAGCTCCAACAAAAGATTAAAGCTCGAGATCTCATGTTGAAAGAGTCCTCTTCGTCAACTAACATTCTAAACCCATCTAATGCCATCATGAAAACCATTCTCCAATATACGTGATTCAGCATTTCTCGTCACTGCAAATAATCGCAGAAATGCTTCACACAATCGCACCCCTCCTACCCACTTATCTCTCCAAAAAAAAGTGTGTAAACCTGCACCCACACTTCTATCAAACTTCTCATCCAGCCATGAATCCCTTGATGAATAACCTCCAGCAAATCACGTCACCACAAAGAACATCTGTTGTGAACTGATGAACGCTGAAGAGAAGAAGCTAATCTTCCATATTTAGATTCCAACACTCGCACCCACAATGAACTAGAACAATTAACACCTCGCCACAACCATTTACCAAGAAGCGCCCAATTAAACCAGTGCACATTCCTAATGCCCAAGCCACCATTCTTCGGCGGTCTACATACAGTTTTCTATTTCACCCAGGAAATTTTAGATCCATCCTTAACACCCTTCCATAAAAAATTCCGTTGAATAGTGATAATTTCCTTTATTACCGACTTCGGCACCTTAAAAAAGGATAACGAATGCAATGGCATAGAATTAAGAATATATAATATTTGATAAGATATACTCAAACAAGAAAAATATATCTTTTGTAACAATAACGTGAATAAGCACGGTTGTTTAATTGCAACAATATCCTTGTTTTCTTTATTCATAGGTTCATCAATTTATATTTTTCTTTTGTTTTTAAAAATAGTTTATTTTATATAAACTTAACAATTATTATAAATAATTTTAGAATATTTTTAAAATAGAAAGTTATATGCTACACATATTTTGTATACCATCCATTTGACAAGTTGTGTTATTTATTTATTAGAAAGTGTGATGAATGGAAAGTCGGAAAGACACGGATGATATAAAGATAAATTTTATTTTAACTTTTAATCCTTGTGGAAAGATAATTTTCATATAAGAATGATTAAGATGTGTACGGTAAAGCATTAAAGATATTGTATTTCCAACCCTTTTCATCTTTAATTTATCAAATGGGTGTAAAGTAATTTTCCTTCTAAGTGTCCCACTTGGTCAAATAAATACACTTAAATCTTGATAAACACCTAAAAATTGCATGGCCTTAATAATTCGATTTTCTTTGTGCTCCACTAATCTTAGTGGAGAAGGCTTCTAACCAGGAACCTTTTTTATTTGCCCCACTTGCATGTAAAGTAAACGCCCTCCTCTCTCTCTCTCTCTCTCTCTCTCTAAATATTTATAAATATATAATTTTATAATTAATATTTACTTTAAAGGTAAAATGAATATTAAACATTAAAATAAAGTTACTCAATGAATTGGTAATTAATTTTTTATTTGTATGGTTTTGTATAAACTTAGTCTATTTAAGAATAATTTTTAATTTTGCGATTACATTAATAATTTTAATATTTTTTTAAAAATTATTAATCAAAGTAACTTGATATCTCCGCAGCGCGTGCAACTTGGATATTTTAACTGAAAAAATGACATGGACAAGTTTTATAATTAATAACGACATTTAGTGTCAAAAGATCAAAAGTGTTAACTGAAAAAATAGATAAACTAAAGCTCAGAGCTTACAAAACTATAAGAAATGAAAATACAATTAACCGAAAAATTAAACTCACTTGCAAAATGTAAGAATGACATTGAAATTTCAAATATGGACCATATTGATCTTTTCAATGATTAATGCAGCCCTGGGTATACACTGAAATGACCAATATATGTGAATTTTAAAGACAAATGTAATTTTACTGTATCATCAAAGACTAATAACATGTTTGTTAACAGAAAAAAAAAAGAAAAAAAAAAAGACTAATATATTATATCCTCCCATAGATTATTTTTCAAGTAGGAATTCAAGATTTCACTCTTGAAATTGTGACAACTAACAAAGCATAGTAAATAGAATGACTATAGCTACATTAAGACACAGACATGGGGTCATCAATGCTGCATGTTATGCAACTACTGGTAGTGAACGAGTCACTTAGATGACACAAAAGGTGTGGCCTGGCCATATTGACCTAAAGGATGTAGCAACAAAATCTTAAAGAAGTGATCACCCAAAAACAGTACAAGTTATCATCAATATGCACAGAAAGGTGACAACTTCAAAGGTCAAATATTTATTAAACTAGACAGATTGGTGAAATTGGTGTAGTTTTGGTCAGTAGTATTCATGCACAGTAAAAGCCTACAAATTCTCTTGATGTGTGACAAAGAAGCTGCATACCAACAGGCCAACAAAAGCCTCCACTAAAATGACAAATACAACTTTATTGTCTTCAGATTGGATGGATGCTAACAATAAGTTACAGCCACTTTTACTCAACAAGGTGTACAGACACAGCATAACTGGGGTTATAGTATACATTGCTAAACCTATCTCCAAGCAGTCAGGTCTAATCCTTAATCAGACTTCAACCTCCTGGCCAGTAGATGGGGCTTCATCTTTCTCTCCGTCCTCGTCATCTGCTTCATAAGCTAGTTTTGTCAGCTCTTCCTGAATCATGAGCTTTATAGATGCCTTTCTTGGGGTGAGATCCACATCAAATTGTTTAGCTGAAAAATCAGGAGCATTTTTAGTTAGGAACTTGAAGTTATGATCTTATTTTCATTTTCATGAATTGTAAAATTTCTTTAAATGTTCATATTCGTGAATGATAAGACTATATAAAGCAAGCTACACATGCTCAAAATTAAATATCCTAGATCATTAAAGGGGAAGAGCTCCTGTGAATTATGTCATGTTCTTAAAGGCACAATAGTAGCACTATCTCATAGTTACAATTGAGAAAAGGTATAACCATAATTATATTTGAGTAAAAAAAAGTATAAACTATTAAGGACCCTTACCAAGTTTCTTCAGAATGTCAGTAAATGTGGCCTGCAAAATAGAAATAAGGCTTTTAATTTTAGAAAAGACAAAATATCCAGTAGACTATAAATACAACATTGACACTGTCTATGGACAAGATACTAAATACAACACTGACACACAAAGCAGTCCGTTCTAGCAATAGCAGTATAAGTAGCAAATCTGTTGCCACATTCCAGCCTGCCAGGCACATACTGCACACATTTAATCATCCATATCACTGACTTAACAGATTATGTCAATGACTAAAACATCAATTACTGGGTCATGCTATATCCATTCATAAATTGGATAGAAGGTAAATAAATATCTTAACTTGACTGTTCCAGCAACTTTGACCAAAAAAGGCCAAGATATCTTAATCTAGGCGTCGAATTTTCAAGGAGAATTTTGACAGTATCACAGTTAAAAAGGATACATTATGAAGTATACAAGAAGCTCTAATAGTGTTACAGTGCTTTATCCATAACAAACAACAGCAACGTCTTTTCCTACTAGGTGAAGTTGGCTATATAAATCAAACTATGTCATAATAAATCATGTCTACAGGCAAATTATTAACCTTTAAACATGTCTCAATCCTTTCCCCTATAGTTTTTCTCAATCTCCCTCTATCTCTAGCAATTTGGCTACCATCTATCTGATCTACTCTCTTTATTGGGGTATCAACAAGTCTTCTTCACACATGCCCAAAGCACCTAATGTGAGTTTCTACCTCTTTTTCTAAACTAAATGCTACCCCAACTTTTTTTTAATGCAACCATGCCTAATCCTATTTTGTCTAGTATGTCCACACATCCAAAGCAAAATATTCATCTCTGCTACATTGAGTTTATTTTCTTGTTGGCTTTTTACCGCATAACATTCAATTCTGTACAAGATCACAGATTTGCAGTTACACTCTATGTATTAAATAAAGAAAATCAACTAGCAGCTGAATCATGTAAAATTTTAATCCAAACATCTTACCGTATTGAAGTCAACTTCTTTAAGAATTTCACATATCGCATCACATAACTGACCATCACTGGGGCCCAACTTCTCTTTCTTCTTGGCCTTTCCTTTAGTAACCTTTTCTGCTTGATACAACAGAAAGATGCTTTTTTAATGTCCATAGGATGAAGATGATTACACCAAAATCATTCTCAGTTTTTCAAATGTTTCAGCTAAAATTTTTTTGCTAGAAACAACAGCTATTCAAATCAGAACATTTTCAAATGAAATAATGACAATTGCAAAGGAGAGCTCAAGATTTCTACCAGCTTTCTCTTTGGAAACAGACTTAATTGGCGTAGATGTCTTCTGCTTTCCTCCTTTCTCATTTTTCTTCTTCCTTGAAAAGACCTTTGGACTTCCATCACTATCATCATCAGACTTTGAGAGGGTGGATGATGATTTCTTAGGTGTTCTTTTTGGTGCAGAGCGGGATTTCTTTGCAACTGTAATTTTCTCAATTTTACTTTTTGTAGCAGATTCTTTCTTTGCAGATGATGTTTTAGAAAGTTTTTTCTTTTTTTTTATATCTTCAGATTCACTCCCAGAATCACTTTCATCTTCACTTTCAGATTTCTCCAGTGTTTCCTCCTCAGATTTCTCAGGAACACCATTTTCATTTTCCTCCTCATTTTCTTCATCTTTCTCTTCTTCGTCTGACTCATCTTCCGTGTCAGTTGCACTCTTTCTTTGCACAACTGAAGAATCTTCATTTTTATTTGGTCTCTGAAAAATATGTCAGAAAGCTGAGAAAAACAAATAACTAAGGAGAAACTCCAGATAAAATAAAATAAAACTTACACATATAACGTTCGTGGATATTATATTTTGAATAATTTGGAATTAGCTTAACATGAAATGCCATATAATAGTGTAGAATTGCTACCAAATTTTATACCAATTGAGTACTACCGTACCACAAGCCCATTCCAATACAATACTTTTTTTTTTGGGGGGGGATGGGGGTGTTAATGCAAATAGCAACATTGAGATTTTGAACAGACCGGTGTGATAAAATTTGTGATTATACTCATAGGATTGTATGAGTTTTTGATATACACCAAGGGACAGCACAAACTGAACTGCACAGGACAAGTAACTCCATCACAAAATAAGTTTTTGTTCAGTCTACTGTTTGATGGTTGACACACAACATTAGAATTTTCATGCTATTCATTGTTTGATACATACAAATATACGAGACAAGATTTTGAATACATTCTAATTTTTATATAATTAATATCATATTACACATATAATTTAAAATATTATGGTTTGATACACACACACACTCTCTCGTACAAAACCATAATATTACATTATATTTTATATTATAATATATTATATAATTTTAATGCAATTATAACCCAGTTACAGTTGGTACAAGAAGACATCATTGAATTTTTTAAAAATTGGTCTTCATCTGTGCAGTTACAGTTGTATTATGGTGTAGTTATCCGTGTGGGAGAGAAGCATGAGGTGCAAGTCACAATGTTGAGGGGTTAGTAACAATTTTTAAACTGTGTCCTGTGCTTTACCCTAATTTTTAATTCTATTTCTTAGTGAATCACACACACCCTTAGTTTCATGGGACAAGAACAACTATTAATTCACTTGGAAAAGAACAATTCCATGGTAGCCAAAATTGAGATTCTATGCAGGGTCAAAGATCGTGATCATACAAAATTGTATGTATGCATATGAAATAGTATAAATATGATGAGAGAAGCTAAACAAAGACAGGTGAGGGAAGGGAGTCACCCTCAACTCAAAACAGAGATAGGGTCATGCCCACTAAAAACAGAAACAGAGATTGAGATGAGAGAAGGAGAGAAGGAAAAGATGAGTTAGGTAGTGTATTCTGATGAGAAGACTAATTTACCCGTTAAAAAAACTTAAAACAGGATCATTTTAAGGACAAGAAGGAAAAGTTAGTATATTTTTAAAAGATAAAAAGTCTTTTTTACACTTAAAAACCCGAAAAGCTGCTTCATTTTGGGGATAGAAAGAGAAAATCAACATTTTTACTCTAGTGGCACTGTTGAACCGTGAATTAGGCTACAATGGCTGCGAATTGCAATGGCCACCACAGCAAAACAGGCACTGTGGCAGTTGAAGGTCGCTCCGCTAGGCACTTCCGTGCTATTGACAACTATAAAACAATCGGGTAAAAAAACGGGTCATGGGTCAAAACACGAAAAGCTAAAATGGACATGGCAGAATCGCGCAAGCCTACTGATTTTACAATCTCACACTGCAATTCCCCGCTTACAAATCTGCAATCTTGCTTGCGAGCCAGCATGGCATGGTGGTTCAAGATCGTAAAATCTCACAATTCTGCGAGTCAACATGCGATTTTGACTACCATGGTTGCAATGCAGAGTGAAAAACAAACAAAAGTGAGATAAACATGCTAAGTCCAAAGGAACTCAAGACCAATATTCTACTGCAAGATTTAACTTTGAAACACACCAATTATAGGATGTTGTTAGATCACAGTTTCATATCCTGCAGTTAAGAGAGTGAGATATTACCTTGGCAGAACGTCTTGAGGTTATCCCAGATCTTGAGGAACCCCATTTTACAACACGCTTCCGCTTTTTTCCTTTATTGGGCTGATAATAGTTAAAACAAATAATATGGATATTAAGACCAGAAACATAATTGCCCAGGGAAAAAGAAATTACGATAACACCATGAGAAAAATAAATTGAAACACAAGAAAATTAAGAAAACCTCTTTCTCTGCAAGTAACACAGCTGTGGTTGCATGAGGAGCAACTAAAAAGTCTATCAGCTTAGCAATAATATCTTCCTGCAGATGTTGAAATTTATAAGCAACAAACAATAGAGCTGTGTTAAATGGTATTAGTCAAAATGCCAAACCAACATACCTTCCTTGTTGTTGCCTTTGCAATTGTTATGTCAAGCACATCACAAAATTCCATTAACTTCTCTTTATTACACTTGTCAAATTTTTCTTTTACTTTAATCATTTGCTTTTCCTGCAATAACAGTATTTGGACTTTAGAACCTTTGGCAGAGAAGGACATACAAGCAGAAGAACAAGTCAGCAAAAGAAGTTTCTATAAACAAAAACTGTATGATTATAATATATGGTATAGGTGTATTTTATGACTATTAATATTTTGTATAATTTATAGGTTACCTCATTGTCAAGCCATACGAAACCAGAAAACCTTGATATATTACTCTTGATCTGAACTGCCTGCAAAAGAGTAAAAAAGGGAGTCACATGAAAGCATAGCACAATAACATAAGTAATCCCAAGCATCCCAAATTAAGTTCCTCTTTAATATTTTAAAAATACAGGCATGCAGTATCCCATATCCTGAACTATAGAGATGGAATAATACAAATTAAAAAAAAAAATCAATAGTGGTGGAATAAAACAATTGTAACAAAAAAAAAGAAAAAGAAAAAACACAGTTAATGAGGCAGATAGTCAACAGTAGTAGGACATACCTTCCCCCTCCTTCCAAAGAGGATGTTATGGAGCAATTTGAAAGTATCACCAGTCTTCCTTCTAGATAACTTAAATGCCACTAAAGCAGAAAATGCAAGAGTCATATGATTTTAGCTGTTCAGATTTCTGAAGAAGTAGGAACATGCATTCATGGCATAACAAATGTAGGTTAAATTATAATGTTAATCCCTATACTTGACACGTTTTTCATTTTCATCCCAAGATGAAAAAAAAAAATTATAAAATTAGTCCCCACCCATGATTGAATGTTATAACGAGCGTTTTTGTTTTTTTTAATGCAAGGACCAAAATAACAAACAATGTGAATACTTTATGTATAAAGATTAAAATGAAAAATTTTTATATTGAGAGACCAAAATAAAGTGCAAGAAAATGGTTTGAAACAAAAAATAATGTCAAGTATAAGGACTTGATAAATGGCAGAGGCTGATCCTCTTAAAAGACTATTATTGAAGAAGAATTCAAACAAAGGAAAGCACCATACCATTGGGTATATCTTTTAAAGGAGTACCACGACCCTGTTTTGAGAGAGAAGCAGTAAACAAGTTATAATAAATGCAATATTAAGGGAAAATATTTCAAATGTGAAACTGAAAATGAATACCTTTTCAATGTGAAATTCTTTAGTTGCATCTTTCTCAATTGATGCTACCAACCTCTCAACTGATTTCCTTTCCCGCACAGGACGATCTATAGTAGGTGTCCTTGGTTCTATCTTCTTAACTTCTTTTCTTTTCCCTTTCACTTTCTCCCCATTGATCTTCCCTCTTCCACGCTTTTGTGATCTCTTCTCAGCCTTACTATCTTCAGGCTTCTCTTCATCTTTTGACTTATCAATATTATCCTCATCCTCCATCTCCACTTCAGTTTTCTCTTTGTCATTGCTCTCCTCCTCCTGAGTGCTAACCTCTACTTCCATAGCATCTACCTCTGGTTTCTCAGCCTCTACTTCATTTTCTTGTTTACCTTCCCTTGTATCATTATCCTCAGTGTCTTCATCCATTTTATCATTCTCAGATATATGATCATCTTTCTTATCCTCTTCTATTTTTTTCGCATCATCATCTTTCTTATCTTCTACTACTTCTTTCGCAGCACCAACATCCTTATCCTCCTTTACTTCTTCCACACCATCAACTTCTTTATCCTCTTTTACTTCTTTCACCCCATCTTTCTTATCCTCTTTTACTTCTTCCACCCTATCTTCTTTCTTATCCTCTATTGCTTCTTCCGCAAAACCAACTTTCTTATCCTCTTCTACCTTTTCCACACCATCAGCTTTCTTATCTTCTTCAATTTCTTTTACATTTTCTTTCAACTCTTTGATTTCATTTTTCTCCAAGACTTTTCCTCCATCAGTTTCCAAGTCCTTCTTCTCACTAATTTCATCCAAAGTTTTCTCAGGCAAGTTCTTTCCATTTGAATCAGTCTTAGTAACTTCATTCACTGGTTCTTCCTCACCCATACTGATCTTATTTACAGTAAATATACAAAAGTACTATTTCCTAAGCACACTTTTCTCTACACTCTGCTAATTTGGATAACCAAAGCCTGCCTACCTAAAGATTAAGAACAAAATTAGAGTAAGTACAACAAACACTCAAAACAGAAAAGTGCAAAAAAAGGATGGCCAATTAAACTATTAAAAAAATGTTAATCTTCCATTATCAGCAGTATTATTCTCTGGCACACCATATAAAAATATCCCTTCAGGCTACAATGGAATGGCATTTCAATAAAATTGAACCCATGGCTATTGATAGCAGTGCTGCAGCATCACAGAGCGGCAGTTGGCCACTACAAAGCAGCTGTTGTAGGGAGTTTTCATGGTTTTGGATGTTGCAGCTTAATCACAGGCTGTTCTTGGGCTATAGCACTGCAATGATGGTGGATTTCGAAAAACCCCACTTTTGCCTCAGTGACATCAATCTTATGGGTGCATAATTGCACCTACAATTGCCTGAATAATTCCAGAATCACAATAAACTTCTGCTTCACATGATTCTGTTCATGTCCAGGTCACACATGTAATCAGGTCAGGTTATGTGTGACCCAGTTCTAAAAAGCCCAAAACTGCTTTTAAAAAGAAGTGAAAGAATACACTGTTCCAAAAGGGAGGGAAATAGGTGATATAAACCCTCCCTTGTGACCACAACATATTTTAGAAAGAAACCCTATTTTCCATTTTGCCATTCTCTGCCTCTCCCCCAACACTATGCCCTTAGATTTATGTTTTTTAGTTATTGATTATGAATTTGCGCTTTCATATGACTTTGTTGGTTATATATATATATATATATATATTGGTTTTAATTATTGATCATGAGACAATTCATGATAAAGTGTGATTCATGATTTGAATTCCACTTTGACAACCTTGTTGTTTTGCGATAAATGAAAAAAACCATACTGCAACAATTCAGCCATGACTATGTTCTATGAGGAGCCAAACACATAGCTTTCTTCTCTCTCTTCTCCAGAGACCACCTTTTCTCTCACCCGCCACCACTGGTGATCACCTCTTATCCCACTGTTTTCCAGCAACTACAACGGTGTAACCTACTCTTCTCCAGCTGTTTTCAGTCTCTATTACTGCTCTATAACTCTTTCCTTCACTGTTTGTTGTTATTTACTTGTATATTTTGTTTAAGACCTATGGATTTTTATTAATATTTATGAACATGTCATGAATTTTGATTAATTTTCAGTCTGGTATACATAATTATGCATAAAAAATATTAAAAAAGCAGCCATCCTACTATAGCATTTTGGGTTCAACTGCTATACGCCACTATCTGGTATCGATAACTAAAATTGAGCCACAGTGAACCCAAAATATATCTTTAAGTCATGGCAACAAAAATAACAATAAAGAGAAAATGACTATATTCATCCCATCACAATCAAATGCAACAAAAGCATGAAAATTAGTCCTCCTCATAAAACCAACAAAGGAATGCAGTTGATAAACAAAATCAATATGATACAATCAGCACTGCATCAGAGGACGATAAATGATTATTCCGTTAAAAAAAATCAGCTTTGAATATTCATTTTGCACCATTTCCAGAGAAAACCACATCACCCTATCAACAGGGTAACCCTATTCATGCAATTCCAAACCAATTCTGACCAGAGCACAGCCCAACCATGGTGAGAAACTGACTTCAAAATACCAATTTTTTGCTTAATTGCACCCAGAAAGAACCTTTGATGTCAACTCAACCCAAAGAAACAAATTGAAGTAAAGTCCCAATTTTTATCACTTTTCTTTTTCCAATTCAAAGCCCTACAAAATCCTCACCCCAAATCCCACCACCCATGCAACAATTAAGTTCGGAAAACATAAAGATGCCAAATTTTAACCTCAAACGATGCATGAAAGCGAAATTGGAAGAGAAGAAACTTACAGATTCAGAAGCTGGAAGAGAAGAAGAACAGAGCTCCACTCTCTGCGTGTCTTTCTCTCTGTGCCACTGTCAGTAACTAAGTGAGAGTGGGGTTATTTTCGACAATTTATAGTTCGGACTTCAAATGCGGATTTTAAATGCTGTTAAATTTCCACGTAAGAAGCTGAAATTCGGATCCAACGGCTCAGATGGGGTTTTTGTGGGGTAATGTGCAAGATCGACGGTCATGGTTTGGAATTCCTTGTGTCGTGCATGTCATGTTGAAATTTTTAAATTATTATTACATGATTGTATCCGAAATTAAATCATCTTTCAGTAAGTTGAAAAATTATGCCCGTAAAGAATAGTTCAACTTAAGAATACTACTATTCTAAAGTTTTTTTTATTCCTAACTTATATTTAAATTTAAGATTAAAAGTGAAAAAAAAAATATAATATATATATATATATATATATATATATAATATTTTCGTCTTAAAATCACTCACTTGATAGAGTTACAAGACGTGGACAAAGAGCGTACAAATTATTGGCAATTTCTCCAGCATTATTATGAACTTTCTATATTTCCAATTTTAGTAATAAATCATTTCATAATTACTTTAGAAGTGTTTATTACTCTTTTAATTGCTTAAAAAACATTTTCAAAAATTTTAAATTATATATATTTTTTAAATTACGCATGAGCGTTTAAACAGTGTACCGTGAAAATCAAAATCAATAGTCGTAATTTGTGGTTAACTTGACAAATTATCTTATCGTTGAGAAGTGAGTTGGAAGAGAATAATAACTTTTAAAAAATTAATAAAATTATATATTATTTATTATAATAAATAAATTATTAATGTATTATATTTATAATAGTTATTTTATATTTGAAAAAAATCATAAAATTAAAATATATTTATTTGACATACAAAATTTTTTATTGTTTTTTCTGTTAAAAAAAATATGTTTTTAAAAAAAATTTAAGAATATGTTTGTTAAGTTTCCAAAGAAAAAGAGAGAAGATAATTGTTTTTACTTATAATCATCATGTTTTAATTTTACAATTTTTTAAAATGAAAGTCATAAACACAATAAATTAATATGTTAAATTTATTGATGTTATATTTATTTTATAAATATATTAATTCTTTCCTTTTTTTTCTTCTCTAAAATGTAAGTGGCAAATATAGTATAAGCCTAAGCATCTCTTAGTTACTGTATCTCTTGTCATATTATCTTAGTTAGCATCCAAAATAACAATTAGATGTGTAAATTTAGTTTTTATTTTATTTAAATAACTAAAAATATCTTAAAAATAATGTATTAATGAATATATTTTTAATACTCTTTTGAAGGATCTTTAATATAGTGACTAATCGTTAAAAGATAAATAATTGACATAAATACAAAAACGTTAATTTTAAATCTTATAATTAAATTTGAATAACTAAAAGTCATAAAGTTTTATTTAAAAATATAATAAATATTATTTATTAAAAAAATATTTGTATATTTTAAAATCAACTATAAGAATAAAAATAAACAAAGTAGTAAAAAAAATACAGAAAATTATCAAAGTTTTACTAGTATCGAGAAGTATCTTTACGTTTAATTTTGTATTATAGTTGTGTGAGTTTTAATCATATTTTGATATATAAAGAGGGTAATTAGGGTATTAGATAGAACATTAGTGATACTTGCACAAAAATAAGAAACCTTTCCTTATTACTTTTTAAAAAGTGATTTAAAAAATAGATTAAAATATTATTTATGTTTCAAGAGTTTATAAAAAGTAAAAGTTGTATTTTATTTATTTATTTGTTTACAATTATATTTTTCTTAAAATTTATGGATTATTATTAAGACTTTAAAGTTCAAAGATAATATCTTATATATCATAATAGTATGTTAATATTGATGCTATTTATTTTAAAATATATATTATAAAATATAATTTAATTTTAATTTTATATTCCATTAATTTTATGATTTAACTATATTTAATGTTAAAAATTAATATATTTTAGTTATGCATTAAGTTGACATGGTTTTATTTTATTTTCAATATTAGTGTATCATAATTAAATTAATTTTAAATAATATTATAGTTTTTATTCTTAACCTACATTCATAAGTTCGTTTTTGTGCACTTCATAAATAAATAAAATAATTTAAAAAAAGAACATATAAAAATGCATTATTAACACCAAACAAGTTATCAACGTAGCATAATTAAAAACTAAAGAAAACTTACACTACTAAACTGCTGTTACTCAAACAAGACATGTTAAGTTAGAAGATACATAACCACCACTGTATAATTGTGACTCACCATATTTCTACCACTTGAAATTCTGATTTTAATATTAAGTATTTTAATTCAAAAAAAATTACACTCTAATTTTAAAATCTCTCAATTTTCAAATTTGGCAGGGAAACAATAAAGAGAGAATCAAATTTAGGCACATCAATATTGAAATAAAATGAAAATTTACACAGTAGGAGGGAGTTGGAATCCAAATGGAGATTTGAGATAATGAGAATTAAAATATGATTTCTTACTAGCAAGCAAATACTTCAACACCAACTTTCAAGAACCTCCACACCTTTGCTTCAAAATTTGCCTTTGTTCTGTTGTCATTGGCTTGAAGATGGCCATCCTCTGGCAAATGTCAAGTGCAGCAAATTTAGATAAGGACAAATTCAAATTTAAAGTTTAAAAAACAAAGCCAAACATGCATTATAGTATAAACATTAATACTACTATTCAATAACAATGAAGAATAATGGAGGAATTAACATACAATAGAAACTTTTCTGAAATGGAGTCTTCCAAAGCAATGGTGTTGTGGCCTCTCAAATGTGGGAAGTGGGGTGACAACAATGGTATCAATTGGCTATTAAGGAATGTTATGATATTGGATAGTTGGTTCTGCTACTTGTAGCATCGGTTAGTCACATAGAAATTTTCGTAATTTTATTTAATTGGAAAGTATCATTAAATATTAAATCGAGAATAGATAATTTATTTATAAATTTTTTATATGTAAAGATTAACTCACATGCATGTGAATCAAGAATATAAATTAAAATATTATTTAAACAATTAAATGAAGTTTAAGTATAAAAAAGTTGACATTATCAAAATTTTGGAATAAAAACATCAAATAAACTAGTGTTAAGCATAGTGGACGAACGTTTGAAGGACAAGAACATATACATAGAATTTAAATTCGGGAAATATACTTTTTAGTAATGAAATAATTCAAAGAAATGCACTCTAAAACAATGAGCTCTTTGATTTCAAAATATATTTTCTATTTTTATTTTTAATTATAAATTTTTCATCTTATTTTACTCTGTTTTTAAATTTTAAAGATTTATACATGAGACTATGAAAGTAGGAAAAAAATAGTATTTTTGTATATAGATATTTAAAAACAGAGAATAATGTGAATATAAAGTGATAATTTTGTAATTTAAAATAAAAATAAGAAAAAACAATAAATTTTTTAGATTATTTCTTATTCTCACCGAGGAAAATAAAGTGTTTTCAAGAGAAAAAAAAAGTGATTTTAGGTAAAAATTAAAGTTTTAATTTGTTTGAATTTTTTATATTTTAGTGAGAGAAGAAAAGAGAGAAATGGGTCTCACAAATCTTTTCTTCTCTATTGGTCCGTGAAAACAACAGTTAAAAAGGAGTTTTAATTTTATTTTTATATTTCAGCGTTAAATAATTTTTAAAATAATATATAAAAATAGAAATTTAAATATTAAGAAAATTATTTATATTATATACAATATTTTTAATTAAACTTAATTTTATATTATTATTATTATTATTGAAATATTTTTAATACAATCTATTTACTTTTTTACACTCTGCTTTTCACTCATTAAAATGAGTAATTTTTTTTTCATTTTTTTTAACTCATCCAAACAACATATCTCTTTTACTTTATTTCGATTATTTTTTTCTTACTTTTTTTTTCTATCTCTTTCATTTTTATTTGATCTATTGATCCAAACATTGAATGTGGAAAAACAATGATAAAGAGCTCCCCTTGGTAATAGCTTGGAACAAAAATTAACTTTATAAAAGTATACATTATTTTCTTCTTAAGGTAAAAAAATGTACTGATTATGTTGTTGCCTGCAAATTGAATAGCTAGGACAGCCGCAGGTTATTAATGCCATGATTTGACTCAGTAACTCCATTTATTCTTTATGTTATATCTGTCAAAACAAAGTTGAAAGGGAGATTTGAAAATGAAAAGAAGAAAAGAACAAAACAAATTCATGACTAGCACTTTAAAAAGCTCCTTTATGTATTCCAGGCCTGGTCTAATTTATCACCCTATTCTTTCATTGTTTAGGCATCCAATATATGCGGTAGAATCCTGTTCTTATTATCGCAAATACTGATATCTAGTTTTACTACAGTTTCTATCATCCAAACATTATATTATTAAATATTTGGATGGCTAATGTTAAAGGATGTATTAGGAATGGTTTAAAAAATTTAAGTCCAACTTATAATTAAGAATTAATTAGAGCTTAAAAATATAAATAAATATTATATTCAGAGTATTTAACAAATTAATTTGGATACCTACCAATAGCATTTGTGGCTAGCATATGTTAAATTGAAGTCAATTCACAAAAGCATGTCGTGTAAGTTTTATTTGGACTTGGAAGAGACATAAAATAGTTGAGAAACAAACAAACATAATCTTGCCAATATGATCATGGTGTATGAATCAAAATGCCAAGTTAATAGATGAGCACATCTTCCTCAACATCAAGAGGAAAAAGAGTTAAAAGGCTAAAACTTAACTATATTAGCAGCTTAATATAAAAGTTGTAATCAAGGATCAATCACTAAGAACACATTCATCTCTAAAATATGCCAACTCCTGCTTCAATCTGAAATCTGGACTATTGGTTGATCCCATGGAAATATCTATCTCAATTAAGTTTTCGTCCTCATTCATCTCATTAATTTCTGCTAAGAGCTCCATGAGACCTTGCTGCTTGTAAATGGAATCTGGCAACTTAGATTGGAATCTTTGCTTAGGATCTTCAGTCAAGTCAGAGAAGTGATTGCCTGGGAGGTTGATTTCAATCAAGCTATCCTCCTCCTCCTCCTCCTCTTCAACATCAACATCATCATCAATATCATCATCATCATCAGAATCCAAGCTATCAGAACCATCTAAATTTTGATTCTGATTAATCTCAAAACTTTCTTCCATGATTGAGCTACTACTGCTTTCACTATCTGATGGAAGTGAAGAATCTGACTGCAAATCATCTTGTAGCTTATGCTCCTGAACATTGAGCTCAAAAGTTCTATCCATGATTGAAAAATTGCTGCTTTCACTGTCAGATGGAAATGAATAGTCTGAATGTGCCTCAGCTAGTTGTTCATGCTCATGATTCTCAGCAATTTCACTTTGTTGGTTATTCAGAGTAGCATCTAATGAAGGCTGTGGCAGCTCCTCTTTCTGCACTTTATCTTTGACTAGATTTTCATCTCGAGACCCTTTTTTCTTTGTCAGTGTGACAAGAAAGATGGTAGATAGAAGAGCAATGGGTATGGTGAGAAGGAAAGGGAAGGATTTAGAAATTGGAAAGAGGAAGAACACTGAGAATAGAACAAGAATCAATATGATAAATAGTAAAGTGCCTATATTCGAACATAGCTTGGAACAGATTCTAAGCTTATATCCTTTCTCCATGATCCTTGGCTCTCAATATACCTACTGTTTCAAGGCCAAGAAAATGCAAGGACCCAAATCACCCAACAAGGCTGCAAGAACTGTTGAAACAAAATAGATGGATAGATCTATGGGAAAGCTTTAAGGAAAATACCTGAAGTTTTGTTCAATTTGTACTTTTTTCTGTCTAAAACTAAAGATTTTGACACAGCAAAGTCACAAGAATTTTTGTTAACTACAAAGGTATTTTGTAGGGTGGGATGCAAAAGGAACCTTTTAAGCAAAAAGTAGCAAGATTTCAGCTCTTGTCATTATGCCCATTTTGTAAATGGTTGCCAAAATGTCAAAAAGGTAGCCAAGGAGGGAAAGCTTTACCTCATCAATGTGACAAAGAAACTCATGTCATAACTTCATCTCCAAACCAAATTGTTCTTTATTAACCATATATGAAATGGATGAGATTTGATATCGTCATTCTTGAAAGTTCATGTTCCTTGCACTGCTGTGCTGAGCAACCCTAGCTGCAACTGCAAAATCCAACTGTTAGTACTATTTTCTTCTGACCAGAAACCTTATGTTATAATTATTATCCTCAATGGATTCTCTTGGAGGTATCAAAGCTGTTTGTTTTCCACCAACATTTACAAACTCAAAGTCTTGAAGTTGCTGAATGCATGTGCCAAACATATCTGACCCCCAACATAGCACTCTAGGAGACACTTAAGAAAGATCTTGTTCTTTTCTTTGTTTTATCTCCAACCAAACACAAGCCATTTGCAAAAACTCAACATGCCAAATTTGACACCAGATTTCTTAAAAGAACACCTCTTTTTTCCCCAAAGGCGTGTAAATATTTTCCCGGGAATCAAACACAGTTGAGCACTTTTATGACCACCATTTTTTCCCTGACAAATTTTCAACCAACACATAATGAATACCCTTAAAATCCAAGACAGCCTTTTGTAGCAATTAACTTTTACTTATAGTCAACAACTCTGCGTGAATGTATATCACGACTCTCATGTCTCTGTCATCGCTTTTATTTAAGAAATTTTTATGTAAAATATGAAATATCCGTGTTATTAATATGATTATAAAAGAGAATGACAAAAATTACCTAAATAGAAGTGTCAATAGACACTTAGAAGTGACAATAAATACACCCAATTTTGCTGATACAACTCAGAAAATTGAAAGATACTATCTTAAGTTATATATATAAAAAATAACTACCAATATTTTTCTTTCATATTTATAAGAAACTAAAACTTCTTTTTCATATGCATTAATAGTTAAATTTTTTATATAAAATTTTATGTTAATGAAATACTTATCATTAATCCATATAAGAGAATACTATAAATATGTCTAGAATACAATATAAATTTATAACATATATAACTATATTTATTGATATTAATAATTAAATATTTATATCTTATAAATAAGACTCAACATGCTATTAAAATGAGCAGTGTCAAAGTAATGATGACCCATTTTGCATTGTCTAAGGCAAAAGAAACCTTGAGGAAGCAATTGATTTCTATGGTCCATTTGTGCTTCAGCATGTCATGCATGTTTTAGTGAAGGTCCATTCTTGAAGAGATCTCTTAGTGATATTGTCATGTGGTCTCCATTACAATCCTGTCCCCACTACATAATATGGTTGCTACATACTATGGATACAATGCTAGAATCCAGCCTCTTATAATACCAATGTCCCTTGAGGAACAGCACAAAAGAAAACACACTAGGATTGATATTGGATAGGGTATATTGTATTCCTGATTTTTATTTTTATAGATAAAAACTATATCAAGATGTTTGGCTAGGTTTAATGAATTTTCCACAACTAATTGGTAAAATAATAATAATCAAAAGAAATTTCAAAAAACATGTTTATCAACATCACCACAAATGCTACACAGTGTTTGCAATCAATTGATAGGCTTTTCTCTAATGCCTAAGTTAATGAGTACTGAGTAATTAAGGGGAGTACACATATTTATTTCAAGTTATATTGTTTTCTTTGGTTATATCTATTTATACTAATGTCAAAAAAAATTCACACACAAACAGAAAAATGAATTCAAGTGGCTCTTTTCTTTTCTCCAAAAAGAAAAATACAGGAAAGAGTATGAAGAAAATAATGTGAAAAAATCAGAAATTTTCTCTGTATTGGGCTGGAGGTCTCCATTTTTGGGCTTAATGACCTATTGCTTGTAGTGTATCGTTTTTTTTTTCTGACAAAAACAGACGCATTCGTTTTTTGGTTTAGGTTTATCTCTACTTTTCAGTTGGTCCAGTAGGAGATATCAAACCATAGAGTTCTATCAAATTATTGACCGTTGAACCAAAAAACTATCACACTATTGACACAATCTTTTTAAAATACACTGCTTTAGGTGCTAGTTTTTCTGTAGTGTACTGATCGAGGTTGTAAGGTTGATTTGGATAACAGTTTTGTCCCTTTTTAAAAAAATTTATCCTTTAATTTAACTTCTAGTCTTATTTTCTCGGAATCTCACAGCCAAATAATAATTACTAATTCTACTGGGTATATATTGAAAAAAAATTATTTACTAATGGACAAAAATATTAAATGTTAAAATTATTTTCATTAATAAAATTTTATTCAACAAAAATTAAATGGTCACTATAAATATTAAATCATATATTATATTATCATTTGATGTATTGATAATATGTATCAATCTTTTTTATACAATAGTTAATTTAATATTTTATACAATAAATATATTGATGGAAATTAATTTAATATCAAATTGTCAATACATGAGTGACATATCCTATATATATATATATATATATATATATATTAGTAAAAAAGAATATAATTTTAAATTGATCTCAGTTTTAATCTAGTTAAAGTTATTAAGCAATGTATTTCCCCTTCATCTATGGCTATTAACTGGAATAATACTGTGATTACTTCTTTTAAATTTTCTAGGTGTATTAAGTAAGAGAATCCCCTCTCCCCTTACATCTTTATTCTTTGTTTTGACTTGCCTATTTTAGTAATGATAAAATAGATAATGATAAATGGTTCCCTTTTCCTTTCAGCAGACAAAGTCCTAAAATTTCTCATTTATTCTTTACTGATGATATTCTTTTGATTGCTAAAACCATAATTCACCAAGCTAAAATTATTCAGTTTGTGCTGAATGATTTCTGCTTGTCATCTGGTCTCAAAATTAATATTAATAAATCATCCATATTTTTTTCAGCTAATAATAATCCTGTTACCTCTTATTCTATTAGCAATTGTCTAGACATTCCAGAAACTAAAAGGATTGATATATCTTGGCATACCTATTTATCATCACATACCTCCTAAGGATCACTATTCCTATCTCTTAGATAAAATAAGAAAAAAAAATTAGAAAATGAATTCTCTTATAGTGGCAGACAGAGTAACTTTAGTCCAATCATGCCTTATGAGCATTATAGTTTATGCAATGCAATCCTAATTAATTCCTTCCTCTATTTGTCAAGAAATTAATAACATTTATAAGTAGTTTATTTAGGGTTCTCTAGGGGCTAGGAAGTGTCACCTTATAAACTAGGAGACCATATACAAACCCAAACTTGAAGGGGGGCTAGGTTTAAGGGACTTACATATGCTAAATAAGACATATTTGATGAAATTATGGTGAAGGATTTTCACCTCTTCCTCTAATATGTGGGCTTAGATTCTTTGTAATAAATATAAGTTTAATATTGGTCAAAACCCTAAAATTAATAAAGGTTGTAAAGCTTTCCACATGTGGAATAGCCTATCTTCTATTTGGCATATTTTCTCTCAAGAAATTGGTTAGCATAATGGGGATGGCATGAATGTTAAATTTTGGTGTGATAATTGGTGTCTTGTCTAAATGTAGCATTGTTCCTCTTCTTTAGATTATAATACTCTTGTTGCTTTATTAGCTGGGATGGGGTTTGGGACTGAGAAAAACTTATTTATGCTCTTTCTGTCCAAATTTGCAATATGAAGACTACTAAGAAACTCTCTCGATTTCTAAAGGAAAAGACTCTATTTTTGGCATTTAACTAATAATGGTATTTTTTATTTAAAATCTACTTATTCTTTGTTATCTTGTCCTAATAAGAATCATGCTAGCTATCATAATATGTTTAATGTTGTTTGGAAATGTGAGAGTCTTCCTAAAGTTAGACTTTTTCTTTGAAAATTAGCACACAATAGACAACTCACAAATGTTGAATGTTGCTCTCGAGGTTTGTCAAATTCTTCCCTCTATTCTAAATGTAATGACGAGGAAGAAACTGTAATTCATGTTATTAGAGATTGTGCTTATGCTTAAAATGTTTGAGAATCCTTTATTTTTGCTTATCAATGGGTTCCTTTTTTCAGCGGAGATATATCAGATTGGTTAATGTTTAACTTATCCAAACAGAACTTGAGTAAATTCTCTAATTAGGAAGTTTGTTTGGGGTTATTGGTTAGTATCTATGGAAAGAGAAAAATAACTTTATTTTTAATAATCATGTTGCTCAGCTTATAGGTCTCATACAAAAAAATTTGTTTGATTTTCAAGCCTTTTCTTGCTGTCAGGGTAACAAGACTAGATCCTTCATACAGCTTGTCAAAAATCAGGATTGAATTAAATGGTTCCCCCCTTCCTGTTCACCAATGGAAGCTCAAAGTTGATGGGGCTGTTTACCAGCTAATAGGAGATGCAGCTTATGGTGGATTAGTAAAAAATGCTCAAGGTCAATTCCTGTTTGAATTCTATAGAAAACTTGACCCTTGCCCTCCAATAGTTGTTGAACTCTGGAGTATTTTGCTGAGTTTGGAACTTGTATGCAGAAAGAAATCCACATTATTTGGATAGAGGGTGATTCCAAAGAAGCATTGTCGCTTATTCAAAATGTTCAAAATAAGGTCCCCCGTTTATATGACCTAATTGTTAGAATTATAAATATTATTAATTCCATTCAGTCTGTTAGGTTTAGTCATATTTACAAGGAAGTCAACCAATGTACTAACCATTTAGTCAAATTAAGTCTTTATGATTCAATGATATCCTTTTGTATTGATTTTGCTCTCTCTTCTTTAGCTCTCTTTCTTTACCTTAATTCTTTAGGCAATTAGACTTGTAGGATGGGTCCTTAACTTTTATTTGTTTTGTTTGGACTTTTATTCCCTTTATCTAATAAAAAAATAATGATTTTATTAAATTTAATTAGTAGATAAAACTATTTTTTAAAATACTTAATAGAGTTAGAACTCAAAATTTAAAATATAAATTAAACTAAAATAATTCTGTGCTAATTAATTTAATTTATAATTCTTCAAAATGAAATTTTTAAAAGAGAAAAAAGTTTGATTAATTTATTTAATCAATTAAAATATATTAAAAATTAAGATTTAATTAAGTGTTTGATTTTTACATTATATAATTTGAACTTAATCTTTGTAAATTTTTTTAGATATAATATTTACTTTTTTTTATAAATTATTATTTTTAGTTTTTTTAATAACATCGAGACACTACTAATATTATATCTTAATTAAATATTTTATAAACATTAAATTTAGATTGTGCAATTTTTGTACAGATTAAATATTTAATAAAATAAAAAATTAATTAATTTATAACTTATTTAATAAAAATTGATTTATTCCATTCATTTAAAATATTATATATTTTTATTTTTATAAATTTTAATATTTATACATATTCAACATGGAGAATTACTTAACTTAATTGATTACAAAATATTATGAACAGTTAATTCTTTATCTTGGCGATCCAATTTATTTTATTCATTATTTTATTTTAATAATTAGATTAAATTTACATATAAATAAATAAATAAAATTGTCACCTACTAACTTTGATTTAAAGGCATAAAATTTCCAAACATCTGTTGATGTTGATATGGAACCACATACTGTTAAAACATGTTTGAGTTATATCTGCGAAAAAATGAGAATAGTTTCTTTCTGAGGAATGACTCATGAGTCATGTGTTGGACTTAAAATCTTATCTTCAACACTAACTTACAAAAAACTTCGAGCTTTTATGCTTTGTCCATTACACCATATTTTTTGCTTTCTTTAGGTAGAAACTCCAATCACACCTTAATTTGTTTGAACTAAAAAAGATGTTCTTAGCAAACGTAAAACAAGGTGGTAGCCGACAGTTTTTTATAAGGCGACAAAGGATACTCATGCGTCCCATTACATCTTCCTTCAACAAAAGTCCAAATTTTCAACGTCCTTTATCAGATACAGTGAGAAACAACCACTATTTTTAATCAAATTTTAGTTGATATTAAAAGTGTGATAGAAATAATATATTTGTTAGTATTTAAGTTTGAATGCATTTGATCTATGAGATTAATTTTGATGTAACTAAGATAATAAGTATGCTTAGAGAATCATCACATGAAATTTGATAAAAGCAAAGTGTTAACACATATTATAATATTAATAGCAGAACCACATGATTTTGAAACCACACTATAATTTTTTAAAGCTCACATGAGTTCGTACCCTCTCAGTCATCAACCACTGAATGCATAACCATTTGGCATTTTGGATTCGCCACACTGTTCCACTAATTTGCCATTGGATGCATCTTATATAAGAGTTTTAGCATAACTCATAAGAAAACAAATTGCAAACATCAGGTTTCGTATTTAAATAAAAATATAAAGTAATGTATAAAATCTAATAAATTTTTTAACGAAAGACTTAATTTAAAAATTTATAAAGGCTAAATATGAACATTAAAATTAGAGGAATGAAAATTACACATTTAAAAATTAAATAAACTATATGTGAGTGATTAAAACTAGAAAAAAAACAAATAATAATTTTTTTAAAAGTAAATTACTAACTTATCATCTGTTGTAGATGTTTAATACAAGATTAATAATAATAATTGTTCTCCAGGAGATTACATAAACTCTCTTACATTACAAAGCAATAGTGATAGTCATGTTACACAATTCATACCATTTAAAAGGGGTTACAATTTTAAAACTTCATTTACAGAACAAACAAAAACTGGAGTTAGCGAGTATCTGTAGCTTGCCAACTCAATAATCTAAACCAAAGCAAGAACGTTGTTTTATGGGGTCCACCAAAGTTAGGAACTCCTAGAAAAGGGTATTATGGTAATTTCAAAAAGTGGGAAAAAAAAAATGCCAAACAAGACAGTGGAAAAGAGAATCTCTGTACAATCACAATATTTTTTTCTCTCTCTACATAATCCTCTCTTCCCCCTCACAAGCCCATCACCATCAATCATCCAAAATCATCATCTTTCAATTTTGCAGCCATGGAGATCCAACAACAAGTGATGAAGTTCAGGTACCACATCATAGGGGCACTTTTGTTGTTAGCCGTCGTCGTGTCTTTCCTTCACCTTGCTCCAAAGTTTCTCCACATCTTGGCCTATTTTTGGCCTCTCTTTCTCTCCACCGCACTCTTCCTTGCCGTCGTTCTCTTCTTTGCCAAAACCTCAGCTTCAACCCACTCCGAAACTTCCCTTCCAAAACCCGCGGAGGATCTCCTTGACTATGTCGCCGGCGGACACCATGAACCGCCGATGGACACTCACAGCAAGTCCGATTAGAGACCCAGAACTTTGTAAGAATGTAACCCTCGGTTTCTGACATTTTTCAATGAAAATAATTATTGGGTGTTTTTATTATTTTATTATATTACCTTTTTCTTACATTTGAATTGAATGCGGGTTTTAACATGCTTTTGTCTTTTAAGATGTTATGTTTTTATAAAGATATATATATTTTTTAATTTTTTATGTTTCATAAAATTAATGTAATTTTAATTTGTCACAGAAATTAAATTCGTTGTTATCATTTTTGTTTCATGTTAAATTGGGATGAATGATTATTTTTAATTTTTTCAAAAATTGACAAAATTTATTTCTCTGATACAAATTAAATAAAAGCTCGCAATAACAAACTGATTTTTTAAAAACTGTTCTATACTACACGATTGAAGACTAAATCATTCATAAATATGTGAAGCTGGTATATATGTGATTTTTTAATAATTTTAAAATTCGAAAAGATATATAAACTGGTTCAATATGTTCAAGATTTTATTTGAATGAGATCTTAGGAAAGATTTTAAAATAATGGGAATGTTTTGGGTTGCGACAGTGACTGTGAGCAGGATACGAAAATTCTCTAAAGTAGGTTTGGCAATCAAAAGAATAATACTAATTGATTAAAAAATATGCATCAATCTATATAAAAAAGTTTAATTTTTACCTGTTACTTTGACTCAAAGATGAAACCCAGTTCTGAGAGTGGGTTGTATTCTATCTTCATAGGGTAATGCTTAGCTCACTGGTGAGTCATCATTGCTAGGGTCACCCGCATATTGCGTGGCAGTATTTACTTCCTTGTCATTTTTTGATAAACCCTAAATTTCAGTATTCTGAAGCTGTACATAAATTTTCTCAAAAATTCCAAAAGCTAATTGACTTCTATACCTCCATTTTGGGCGTTGCCGTGTTGGTTCAAAATCTAATGAATAATTAAATATATGCATAGAAGGATATTAATTTAATTGCACATGCCCCATGTGCCATCCATATTCCATAGTGGTTGCACAGTGTTCCTGGCATGTGCCTAGTACTCTTATTTTCTAAGGCATCTACAAGAAAATTTGAATTTGAAAGTTGAGATATATAAATTAATTGCACAGTTTGTACTCTTATGTTTGTAGGTGATTAATTGTGAAGAGAAGATGGTGAAAACATAGCATAGCATAGGCCACAGAGTAGCTCAGAGATAACTGAGGTTGCTGCTCAACTATAGATAAGGATTAAAAGGCTAAATTAGTATATCACAGCCAGCACAGTTGTGTTGTGGGCTTTTACCTTCCTTTGTAATGGCTATAAATGCTTCTCAACCATGAATAATAGTACATATTTTCTCTTTAATTTTTCTCTACCTGTGGGTTGTTCTAATTTCAAATATAATTGCTGGTAGGTTTGGATTTACTCCGTTGAGCTATATAACCCTCATTTCATTTTTGAAGGGTAAGAAAGAAAAGGGCTGGTTGTTCTTTCAAGTCTTAACATCTACCATCTCTGGTGGTTCTTATTCTTAGAACTGTTTTTTCAGCTCAACGCACTAAAAAATTGATCAAGAGCAACATGTGTTTTTCAGGACTATGTTTGGTCACTAAGATTCAATTTTAGTCTTCTTAAGAATAAGAATGAAAATATTGAGGATGATCTTTTATACGAAAAGTTGTGTGTTAAATCACAGAAATTTCCGAACGGAAGGAATTGAAGGTGCTAGAACTGTGATTGACTTGACATGATAGGAGTGGCTTCCCTCTTGGTTCTCAGGCTTTCCGAAGGGTGGACCCACCATTGGTCGTGTCTTTATAGCAACAATTTCCTTCTCTTATACCATACAGCGGTTAATCAACATATTGTCTCACCCAAAATCACAATGGCCATTTCACCACAATTTGGTTTCAGCTTTGTTAGCAGATGAAACATTTAACATAGAACGTTAAGTAATTATAGATGCAATCTAAGAGTGTATTTGGATTGAAATCAAATCTATTTGAACGTGGATTTATTTCAACATTACAAGCTATAATTTTCAGGTTAAAATGTAGCTTATAGTTTAACATGATCTCAGTGGGTTTTTAGATACACACTTAGTTGAGGACATGGCTGCAGTGTAGTAAAAAAAAAATAAAAAATGTTGGGCTGACATGGTTAATTGATAGTGATTACTGATGTCACATAAGTAAATATTTCTTAATTGAGTGACTTGATTAACTACTTATCATTAATATTTATCACTAAGGTCTAACATGTTGGGCTTTCTACCCTTTACACTTCTTGAATGCTTCAAACTGCATGAAACCAGTACTTTTGTGCGTGAACCCGATTAATAAATGCCCTACCAAATGTGAACTCCTCTATGACAACTTGATGTGTATATAATGTGTTAATCTAATTAAGATGATTGAGCAAGTGTTAAATCAGAAAAATGAGTGTACCAGACTGTTCCATGTCAAGCTCTTCAAACTCCTGCTTCACAAGTGAAATTGTCTACTTGACTAATCTTCCCCATCTCTGAGCTTGAAAATAAAGCATTCTGTAGCCCTGTGAGCAACAATCAAAGAAAGGAACTTCTTAAAAGCAATAATGAAAGCTATTTTTTTAGTTCAAAAATTAATTTTCATATTTTTCAATAAAAATTCATGATCTAATGTAAAATATGTAGTCCAGTTTACTTTATATACGCATCTCAATCATATTCTACACCTTAATATAATTTTTTATTAAAATTAATTTTATTTAACTCTAAACAAAACAAAAATGAAGCCAAGTAATCACTAGAATATAACCTGTTAACAAGACATTGAAATAATGTTCAACTAAACATTAAGTTCCATCCGCATCAAGATCTGCAGCGTTCAGATCTAAATTGGTTATCTTCAGTGTAAACACTCATTTGATAATATGCTTTCAGTCTTTAGCTCAGCAATGCTAGCTGAGCTAAACAAATAGTACTGCCAATATCTAAAAACACTTGTAATATTCTTCATGCTTCAGTTGAGAAACTTCAATCACCACAGCCCAGGGTTGTAAATGTAGAACAAACTCAGTAGAAGGCATCAATAATATACAAATTCTCAACTGTTACCAAGAAAGTTGTACCTGCAGCAATGAGAATCAATAGAAGGAAAAACACTAGAAGAAAAGATTGAACATCGTTGTTATTGACCTCAAGCTCTTCAAAAATTCAGTTGGATAAACTTTTTGGTCTGTGTGCATAGCTTTAACCAGCAAAACTTCCAGTTCCCATAAAAACATGCGTTTCAATAAAAATCTATGACTGGCATTAATTTTGACATATATTTCAATTACGTTCAACATTTCAAAATTAATTCAATCAAAATCATTTCTACTTAACTTTAAAACAAAAAAGCCTGCAATCTCCTGCTTTGTTCAGGATTAGTCCAACCAACGCCACTACATAAAAAAATGCACAGGCAAGGAGCTTTGTAAAAGCACTATTGGGCACAAGATCTCCATATTAAATAGTGGTCATTGTCACAACTGTAAAGCACTGTACAAAGCATCAAGAACACACCTGTTTTTTTCTGGTGCCTGACAAGATAGAAGATAATTAACTCCTACATCTAAATAGACTGCAAGGTATATAGCCACTAGCAATTTCCCAAATATGAACTCGGAACATGAAATTAATACATTTCCATTTGTCTCAGGAGCAAGAGAAGCATTCTTTCTTAACTTCCTTTTAGCCTTTTGAGCTGCAGGATCCTGTGATCACTACAGCAATGGCTTCTTTGTACCATTGCTAGCCATGCAGATGCTTTTAGAAAGAAGGGATGAGTAATAAAGGCATTACAACAGATGTAAAACAGTCCAACGTAGCTACATCAGTGAATTAAAAAAATGCGGATAAAGGATACTAATCCAAATATAAAGTATCAAGAGTTAAAGTAAGGAAAACATGGAGCATATTATTTCATACAGATTTATTAGCACATTTATTCAGCACAAAGAGCTTCACAGAAATAATAAACTTCTATGTAAAGCCTACCACAAACATTCAATGATAAAAGAACTACCACAAACAAACAAATAGTGATAAAAGGAAAAACATTCATTTGGATCATTAATAAACCCATGTTGAACTCCCCCATTCTATTATTCCTTCAAGAAACAGAATCCATGTCTTATGAGTTACAGAGGAAAACATCTTGGAAATTTGTATACCACCAGGTCTGCTTGAGAGTTATGTTTAGAAGGGAGGGGGAAGAAAAAAGAGGGATTAGAGGAGTCTAAATCTTATTTGTAAATTACTTAATTAAGAGAGGAAGGGTTAGGAAAATTTTGGAGGAATTTTTCTAAGTTCTCCAAGACCTTCTTTAATGCTAATTTTTGATTTATGAGGAATTTTTTCTTTTTCACTTATACTCTTTCGTCATTAAAATTTTTATTTTTTAAAATATTAATTTTTCAAGCAAGAAATTTTTAAATTTTTTTAAAAAAATAAAAATATTAATTTTAAAATTATATATTTTTAAAGAGAAAAAATATTTATTTTTTATTTTTTAAAAAATAAAAAATATGAACAAAAAATTTTAAAAATAATAATTTTATTTATATAATTAAATCATCATCACCTTTCCTTTTTAATATTAAATATAAAAATAATAATAAAATAAATTAACTTTCTTCTCCTTTTATTTTTTTCTCCTCCTTTTTCCTTCAAATCCTTTTTCTTTTTTCCTCCTTACTCTCAAACAAAAGCAACGAAAAACATGATTTTCAGCTCACTTCATTAGCAAAATCGCAGTAAGCATTAAGAATAGCACCAAGGCAACCAAAGAAACTGTTTTTGCTCTTCCTTTGGGCATCAAAATACAGTGGCTTTGCATATGAAGCTCTAGATGCACAAAAATCATAGAGATCAAGATGAATTCCCAGATGCAAATTACCACTCAAATTACCTCAGAAATCCATGATTGAAGTTCTAAAGAAAATTACGTTATGCCGTCTTATTTCACAGTTCTGGCTTAGTACCCAAGTGAAAAGAACTTAACTAATAGAAGAGAAGGGAAAGGAAC